AAAAAAAAATCAGTTGTTTTCCTTTTTAAACTTTGTTTTTTTCCTGCTTTTGGTAGGTGTACTGTGGTTTTGTTTGCAAGGGCTACTTGGTTTTGACTATTTCTTTTGAGAAAAGACAATTTTGTTTCTTCTGCCACCAATCCTTTTGCAGTCTTCCATCTTAGGAGAACGATGAAGCTTTCTACTCCCAAGAAGAGTTCCAGTCTCAGAAACAGTTTCTAAGTTCTGTCCTTTGTTCTGAGGACTCTGTGAGTCAGAATTGACTTGATAGGGAGTATGGCTTGTCTGAAAGTTGATCCCTGAGGGTGGGCTCAGCTCTAGGCTTGAAGAATGTCTAAAGGCCACAGCCTCTAGTGTTCCACCAGCCTCTATCAGACCAGTAAGTCTGGTCTTTTTTTCTGATCTTGAATTATATTCTACATTTATTTTCTCCACTGTGCCCAGGACCTTTTATTATGATCCTGATTGATTATAGCTGTTGGTAGTTGTAGCAAGCAAACATGTATTTCTTTGGGTCTCAGGGTATTGAAGGCTACAGTTTGCACGGCTCATAGACCTTGAGACTGACTATTGTCTCAGGGTATTGAAGGCTACAGTTTGCACGGCTCATAGACCTTGAGACTGACTATTTCCTTCATTCTCTTTATCTTTGGATAAGGAGAAACCAATTGCTGCCTCTTAGATGACTAGCTCTTAATACTTCAGTTGCTACTCACCAAAATGGGATGTAGAACATTCTCTTTGTGTACTATAGTATGCCAGTTGACCTATATGTCCTTCAAGACTGTGGTGTCAAATTTTCAAGCCTAGTGACACAGTCTTAGAAAGGAGAAAAGACCTGTGGAACTAGTACAATATACATTTCAGCCTTGGAAATCCTACGAGGCAGTTCTACTCTTTCATATAGCTACGATTTTGAATTGACCCAATAATACACACAAGCCAACACAGTGCAGCAAACTGACAGACAAGAACAGTATTTTAAAGTAGACTGATAATTCTGCTATGGGTAGGAACAATCACAC